TTCATGAAAAGCATTTTTAATTATTTGAAAAGTTGAACTGTTGTTGACAAATTGTTTTCTTAAGTGACTATATTCTTGAAATGTAGTAAAGAAATTCTGCTAAATTAGCGCTGTATTTTAAAGCCTTTTTTTTTTTTTTTGCGTTCAGGAGAATGGGATGCAGGAGACAGCATACAGTTTTGATTGGAAACCCTGTGATTAAAATAGGCTAGAAACTTGAAAGCTGTTGTACCTCTGTTAACATAAGAGAGTCATTACACTAAAACTGAAAGATTAGGGAACTATATTTTGTCTTGGTGCGTGTGAGATGTTTTGTCTGCCACCAACTTCTTACATCACCTTGCTGTTTGTTGTGGGCTATTCCATAGAGCACTTCAAGTACACCTGCTAATCTATACAAAGTGAGAGCATATCTGAGCAATCGCGGAGTTAACCTGAAAATGCAAGATGCAGATGGCTTTAGCAAGGGAGGCCTGCATGTACGTTGGCATAACTTTCAAGTGTGCCACGAAGTCTCTTAACAGGACAGCAGAAAAACATTGCTGTGTGTATTGGAGGGAGCAAATGCGATTTTTAAAGCCTCTTCAGTTAAGAAAGTGCTTTTTCAAATTACAGCCAGTTAGTGCTTAGATCTGAAGTATTTTTTACGTGAACTTCTGACCTCCTTCCAGACTAGACATGACATGCTCTGTTTTTAATGCCAAAGAGGAGCAGAAAAAAAGCTCCCTTCTGAGAAGGTCAGGCTTTGTATACAGTAAAAGTCATCAAAATAATTACAGCTGCTTCTATTTACCTGTCCTTCATTTGCTGTTTACTCCTTTCTAGGTTCCTGTTACAGAACAGGTGCGCCTGCCGTGTATCCCCTTCCTCCCCCGCCATCAGAAAAAAATCCCCTGAGTTGGGTCAGTTGGCACAGCTGGTTTTGTTTTTTCTAATTTTATTTTTGATGTATAAACGTAGCAGATACCCACAAGGATTTGCTAAAGAGCTGAGGCTAGAGCATATGCAGTGGTATCTCCTGGCAAGGATGCATGTTCATTTGGGATCTCATTAAAATCGTGAAAGTCCTTTGTGAATATAAAAGTCTGGGTTACAGTATCTCAGTGAAATATTAGGATAATTCCAGCTTTTCTTTTCTGTGGGTCTGTGAACTTCTTTTCAGTGACAGAAAACCAGGAAGTTTTTCATCTTGGTTTTGTTGGGATACTGGAGACTGTTATGTGGTTTTTTTGGTTTTATTTTTTAAAATATGCATAGTTTTCATAGACTACACAAAGGCTATTTGGCTATTTTTGAGTATTGTTTTTACCTGTACAGCTTTACATATGTACCTACACGCAGGCAGAGAAGTATCTCGTTAGTGTACTAGCTGCCACGTGCTGACTGCTGTAGAGCATTTATCCCAAAGAGCTTGCCACAGCTAGCATGTGGGCTTTGTTGAGTAGTGACTTGAATGCTTGGTTGGTGTGAAAGCAGGTGTCCAGGGCCGCTGTGAAACCTGCTGGATTTGTAAGACGTTCTGGTGAGAACCAAAGTTAAACCCTGTACGAGCTGCCTCAAGTCTGAGTTCGGAATTGATATCCCTAAGATGTTCCCCATGGTCTGCTAAGGTAGCTTATGTCAGGCTTTGAAATATATTTCTAGGCATCGTACTCTAGAGGATAAGGAGTATGTTATAGCACCTTTGTACGTTTTCTGTTGGTTGAGTGAGACTGGGGATATCTTTAGAATGGGAATGTGCACACGTTTTGTAGTGTATCTCTTTCTATGATCCATAGATAAAAAGGTTATGTAAACATCTGTTTCTGTTTAACCTGTGGTATGTCTTTCTGCTTTAATCCTTAGAAGCTGGTACATGGTTTGTGGAGCTGTTACCTAAATAGGTTTGATAATATAATGTTATGTCTGCTCTTCAGAGAATACAGGCCAACTTACTAATTAAGAACGTTATATTCAACTGAAACGTGAATACCTTATTAAGCATGGGTATCATTCTTTTCATGTTTTTTATAATCCAGAACTAACTGTTTTGTCTGGTTCAGAGGTATCGTTGTGCTTTTTTTGGTTGGTTTGCACTGTATCTTAGTTCAAGCAAGGCTTAATTCTTTCCTTGTAGACAGAAATTGACTTAGCCAAAACAGCCAAAGCAACTGCTATTTGATCATGTAAGTTTAACCTCTCCCCTCCCCCACAATTTTGAGGGGCGCTACAGATAAGGGGATTCAATGGCTTTGCAATTTCTAGAAAGAGATGATTCCCCTGAAATTCTGTGGTGTTTCTCTTTGTTTTCTTGAGATTTGAAGTGCTTACAACACTTCGGGCTTCATGTAATTGGAGCCATAAATGCAATTTTCGCATACTTTACTTAAAATGGAAACTAGCAAGTTAATAATAGCTCTTACGGGGGTATTTATGTAATGGACGCCAACAGATGTTATTTGCATCTTGAAAAGCTGATGTGTAAAATGTTATGTCAGACCTCTGGCAGGTTTTGTGCTGGTGGAGGACGTGTCAGGTAGGAGTTGGAGATTCTTGACATCTGTAAGGCTTGCTAGCACTTCTGAAAAGTGAGATAATTGTATAATATTTTGCATTTTAGCCTACAGAGAACTTTAACTTAATGTTGCCCTTTTTAAAAAAAAAAAAAAAAAAAAAAAAAAAAGGCGGGAGGAGGAGAGATTTCTGGATTTCTTTCATCTTTATTCTCATTAAATGATCAATGACACTATTACTTTAAAATGACTGCTTTACATTCTGTCTTCTGGCTACAACTCTGGCATTCTGGACAACAAACACAAAGTAGTAAGTTTGTAAATACTGTTTTTACTGATACTTCAAATTATTTCAGCTGTAAGATATTATCTGGCAAAAAAAGTCTGAGAAGTGTATTGTGACAGCCCAGGTATTGACATTGTATGGAGAGAGGTCAGACTTGCACATTGCACTCTTCGCTTTCTCGTGTCTCAGTAATTACTAACCATCTCCCTATTTCCCTGGGCTGTTAGCTCTTTCATATTTGTTTACTTCTAAGCTACCCTTCTCTAGACAGCATCTGAGCTTACGGCATTTAAGATCTTATTTCAGTGTGTAGGAGACTTAACAATTTTGGGATTGGAACAGTATTGGGACATGCAATCTTCGGCCTAATGAAAGCTTCTGCATTTGTAGAGCTGTAATATAAGGTTTACTTTGATTGGGGGGGGGGGGGGAGGAAAAAAAAAAAAAAAAAAAAAAAGAGAGAGAGAGAAAGACCTTGAGCTGTTTACATGGCTGTAGAGCTTGAACATGCAGTTAAGTTGTCCTGTTAAGAGTAGCAGGAGAAGGTGGGAGGATAAGCTCATGACTGTTGGTGCTATTTATTATAACTTTCTCCTGGATTGAATAGTGATATACTTGCCGTAGCTTGTTAAACTTTGAAAACTTTGGAGGGCATTCATTCTTTAAAGTACACTTGTTGCAGCGTTACATAACAGAGCTATATTTCTTGCTTATTGAATTGAAGGCTGAACATAGTGTATCATGTTGTTAATGCCTCCTTATGCTCTAATTAGAGCTGTTGGGAGATGCTAAAAAACAGGTTTATGTACATGCCTGACAGGTTGCTAAAATGAATATGCCTGTCACACAGTCTGGAGGGAGTTGTGTACAATTAGGGGTACCCTACTGGCCAGATATTTTTCTTTTTTTCTTTTCCACACTAAAACATTTTCTTCTGAGGATCTGTCATATTTACTTCAGGCTCTGAGCTGTGTGGCAGCTTTTGCTGGTGAAAGGCTCAGACTCTTGCTTACGTCCTAGAGAGCAATTTTACGTGTGTGCAAGTGGTCTGAAGCAAAGGAAGTCCAACAGCTTCCAGAAGTCAGTGCTACATGGTGGGTAGAAACTGTGGAGGTCTAGGAGAATCCCAAAAGAGCAGTGGTACTGTGCAAAACCAAAGAATTCAACAGAAGCATTTATTACAAATAATTTTGTGTGATTGTGTTGCAAAGTGTTTTCCAAGCTGTATATTAAGTTTACAGTAGTTCTTGTTTTGGAATGTGCTGATGGTGAATTATCAAGTAGTGGAAGGAAAACTTCTGTATGGGACATGCTTACGAATAGGTAACTTCTCAGTTTTGGTATATGGTTCATCATATAATATTGAATGACTGAAATTCTTTAAATAGGCAAAAAAGGAATGACATATCTGCTACAAATTGTTTATAGACAAAAGTTTTTTTTGCAAAGGTAAAAACATTTTAGGACAGTGTTAAGTAGCTATGGTAACATAGATATCCGTAAGCACTTGAAAATCAGAACCAACTGAACTCAGAGCTTTCATTCGTACTAATTTAAAAATGTGATTTATTTTTTAATGTACTAAATATTTAAATCTTCTGTGTATATCATGCATAGCGGAAGAGCATGGCAATATTTTATCTTCTATTGGCTCATCAAAATTCTTAGATCTTGAGCTACTGTATACATAATGGTAATGTAAAGAAGCCTGTATTCTGACAAGGGAGGAAAAAGAAAGTGTCCCTAGTGGGTTTACTTGTGTTTTTTAATTCTCTTTATTGTGCTGCTTTAACTGTTTGTAGCTTTTTAAATATTCTTGCAGTGATATCGAAGTGGCTGTAGTGGGCTCATCATTTGAGATATTGCCGTATCCTACGCAGGCTTGGGCTTTAATGAACGAAAAACCCTCTCATGCGGCTAAAGTAGGCAATACATGAGTGAGTTAATGAAAATGCGCAAGAAAATGGTAGGCTCAGCAATTACGTGGTGAGGAGAAGCCTTAGCAGAAGGACAGATAGGAGTAATCGCTCCCACTTTTGCTAGTGCTTGCAATGGAAGAACAGTAACAAATTTGTGCTCCTCTTCTTGCTTTCGTGCATATGGGTTCTTCTCACTGCAGGTAATTGACTGAAATGAAATGATGATAGCAGGTGATTATTCTGGAGTGAAATGTAAACCTTGTAAAACCTTTTATAGGAAGGAGAAGAAGCACTCATTTCAAGCATAGAGAATAATTTTCTGTTTTTCTCAAGAGCGCAGGCCACTGAATTTGATATAACAGCTGAAGGAATACTATCAAAATACAGCAACGCTGATGACCGGTGACTCTTTGGGGGAGGTCCTAGCAACTTTTCAACAAACAGCTTAAT